ATGAAGCGGTATATAAGTCTACTGCTATTGCTATTGCTATTGCTATTGCACTGGCATATGCACCAGAAACCCGAAGACCAGACTCCTGGTGTGCATGTGCTTGCTGGGAAGATGATCTTATGGTTTACGGGGTGCACATGCTTATGTGCCGGAAGACCAGGTGGCCGGTGCACAGGCGCATTTCAGAAACCGGAAGATCATCTTCCCAGCATGCACATGTGCACCGGGCGGCTGATGTTCTTGTTTCTGGTGCTCCCACGTGCATGAAAACCAGCTGGATGGCGCACCGGAACCTGGAAGAGCAACAGGTGATGGCTCATGTGCCTGGAGAGATGCCACTTCCGGCACGTGTGCCATACGTTCGCCATTACAGTCCTAGCCATTGTCTATCTATGGCAGGACAAAGGCCTCTTCCGCATGTTTCAAACCAATATGGTCTTGAGCTTTTCTTTGCCAGTTGGGCCCACAATACTTGCTGGTGTTGTTACTGCATCTTGTTTTAGGCCTCTTGTGGATCGTTTTTATCAACTGGACTCCATTCTGTGACTGCCTTAGTTCACCTGCTTCTTGCTACGTGACCAGCCCATTTCCATTTCAATTATTTTACTCTTTTGAGGGCATTGCATATTTTCATTTGTTCTCAAATCCATATGCAGGTTTTTCTAGTTTATCTTGTGGTGGCCACTTTTTTAAGTGTTAAAATAAATTCCAGTCTAATCTACAGCTCTGGAGCTCAAATACCGGAACGGTACCCAGTGCTCCTGGCAGGCATCGGTACGCCTGTACCGGAGCGTACCGGTCGTAACCCACCACTGTTCTACGCTAACCTTGTCTCAGATCAAAATGTCTGGCCTTAGTTGATTCTTGAATGACTCCAGAGCTGTAGATTAGACTGGGATTTATTTTAACCCTTAAAAAAGATAGTGGCCAATTATTTTTCTATTGTCATAAAAGTTGCATGGACACTGGCATGTTCTTGAAGTCAGCAGGAGTCAAGGTTGACTCACAGAAAACTTTAGTTTGTAGTCTGTGGGGTGCTGTCCAGGAGAACCTAGTGCTGATGCATTGACATGTCTTTTAGGTTTCCGTTATGTATAACTTTATTTTGCAGAGCAACTTGCATGATGGCAACTTGAAGAATTACCATATTTTTCAGAATATAAGACGCACCAAGATTTCAAAGAAGCAAATTTTTTAAAAAAAGTTTTTGCACTCTGCAGACCTTTCAAAAACAGCCTGTCTTTTCACGAAAACAGGCCCATTTTTGGTTTTAAAAAATGGCATGCATAGCCTTTAGGAGGCTTATAGAGTGCTCCTGGGTCCTGGGTGAGGGGGGCAAAAATGAGCAAAAGACTGCCTGCTTTTCTCTCAGGAGCACTCTGGAAGCCTCTTAAAGGCTGTGCATGGCCATTTTTGCAAAGGGGGCAGGGTTTCGGGAGGCTAAAAATGCTGTATTCAGTGTATAGACACACCCAGATTTTCACTCTCTTTTTTGAGGGAAAAAGGTGCATCTTATACTCCGAAAAATAATTGAGTTGAGCATCTCCAAGAAATGCCAGTATCATTGTCTTCTGGGAAATCTAGGGCCTTGTTTTAGACTATACGATATTCTAAACACAATTGGTTAAGCACATTGCATCAAAAGATATTTAGATTATAATAAGATAATAAGTGAAATAGTGAAATATCCTCTACAATACAATTGGTCGTCTGTCCCATAGGAATAAATTAAAATTAAAACTGAAATAGTATAAAACTTATATTCAATCTTCCTTATTGAATTTCAAGCTAAAATAACTTGGTTGACATAGTTTAAGTTGTTTATACTGTGGATAGAGAAACTTACAGATAGTAAATAATGTATTCCATTAGTGCTATAAATTATATATCAAATTAACATATGAATGCTAAAATCCAATTTTTGGATGTTTCTCTATTCCATGCATGATTGTAGTGCAGGAATGTTTCCAATTAGAATTAAATTCTTTGTCATACCGTAGGTTTTCTTGCCCATATTTCAGTACTTGTACCTGCTTTATCTATGCCGTGTATTTGTTACATTCTTTCAAAAGTATATAATAATAAAATAGAAAATAAAGAAGGAGGAGGAGAAAAGAAGAAAAAATATAATAAAACTGGATGACCTATTCCAGTGATGGCAAAGGTTTTTCTGCTCGAGTGTCAAAAGAGTGTGCACACCCATAATGCAATGTCCTCCCCGCAAGCATGCGCACACAACACACACACACCGCCTCTCCCTCCCCCCACGGCGCGCATGCACACAGGCCTCACTGAAGCCTCTGGACTTTTGGTAGACCTGTTGGGCTGTTTTTCACCTTCCCCAGGCTTCAGAAAAGCCTCTGGAACCTGTGGATAGTAAAAAAATTGGCCCAACGGGCCTACCAGAAGTTTGGAAATGAACTTCCAGTTTGCCTGTTGGGCCATTTTTTGCCCTTCCCTAGGCTTTAAGAATGCCTCCTGAAGCCTGGGGGGGGGCGAAAATGGCCTTCCCCGTCCTCCAGAAGACCGAAAATCAGATGGCCCGCATGTCCATGCGCGCTGGAACTGATATAGGGCAGTGCCTCGCGTGCCCTCAGATATGGCTGAGATATGCCACCTGTGCCACGCGGGTCATAGGTTCACCATCACGAACCTATTCTCAGAGAGATCTAGTGATATTTCAATTTGCTCCTAACTGAAAGGCAGGAGACCCTCTATTTTAATATCCCGCAGTTCTACATTTTAATATACTCCATTTGTTTTCATTTAGAAAAAGCTAGCTTAGTTTGTACTTGGCAAAACATTCATGGACTGATTTTTGCAATGTTAGAAAGTGTTCTGACCCCCCCTCGTCCCACACCATCACACACTCCGAGCCAGAGATAAGTTATGGCATTTAATTAACAGACAGACAGATCCTTGGCAGCAAACCGGCACAGACAAGCTCGGGCAGCAATAAACACAGATAAGGCTTGGCAGCAATCCAGCCTGCCAAGCTCACAGTTATGTCCTCTGACATTCAATCCTGCGTTGACTTCTGCAAAGACGGGCGTGTGCACAAGGAGTCTTTTTTATAGTCTGGAGAGGATCCTAATGACCACCAGCTGAGTGCAATTATCTCCTGATGCCTAGTAGCTCTTCGATGCCGTGCATCCAGGAACAACTCACTACTGGCATCCGGTTCACTCTCCCTTGTCTTCTCCCCACTGGTCCAACGCTCAGGTGCTTCCTGGTGGCCAACCAGCCTCTCTGTGCCCTGCTCGGAGTCTGAACCCTGTCCAGGGTCCTCCATATCCGACTCATCGGGCCCCTCGCTGTCGGAGTCTGGTGGCAGCTCCAATGGCTTCTGCTGGGCCACAACAGAAAGTATATTTTGTTGAACGGTGACAACCCAGATTTTCTGTTGAATGTCTTTGAGCCAAGAACTTCTCCAGGGGCTTTGGATCTGAATACATAAAGTCAGCATAGAGCTTCATGTTATCCATTACATGTACATAATTACATGCTGTCTAAAGTAAATCAGAGAAGACACACAAACTTTAAATCCGTAGCAGTTTTAAGTTTATGACTCCCTCAGCCCCTCTTCGACAATTACATGCATTCCAAAAGTGGCCTCTTGTGACCATCACAGCAGAACTTTCAAAGGGGGACTTTGCCAAATGCATTTGGCTCAGTGTAGTTTTTCCTTCGCCCTATGGCTTCCCAGATTATCTACACCTGGTTGTAGAAAGCGCCAGCTGACAAAGTGAAGCGGCTCTGCATGCAGTTCTGAGACATCTGTGTCCAACTTTGCAGAAGATCTGATGAACCATTCCCAGCCCCATCCTTAAAATGAGACAAAATTGGACTGGAAATGGGTTTTTTTTAAAGAGTGGGAATTGTAATAGTTTGCTTCCTGGTAGCTTCCCACTTTTGCTCCTTTCTTTATTAATGAAGCAGCACACCAGCCATGTGCCTCAGCCATTAAACCATTCTGCTGTTGAATTTCAGAGGCATTACCTTGGGGGTGCGTGAGGGCTACATGTAGAGTTGGGTTGTTGATTCCTGTTGTATAACCAATTTTGTTGTATTTAAGTACAATGACAATAAAGATTATACTTATACTTACATAAGATGAAAACAGACAATATCAGGTGAATGTTTTAGTATTAAAAAGTGTTGCGGTTATTAACAGATTGGATATTAAATTCCTGACTTGCTTTGGAGACCACCACAGCAAAAGATAGTAGAATTGCTTCTTAATCTTAAAACCACACGTTCTTTGTTGAGTCTAACTCAATTATTTTTCAATAGGAGAGTGATGCTTAATTCTCTGAAGTATGTAAGACTCCTTAATGCTGCTATCTATACTTTGCTGATTCACCTTTTATGTCCCTTTCAGTCCTACAAGATAATAAACTTTGCTCCCAGTCTACTACAAATCATTGTTTCTGATCAAGTGGAATTCCCAGTCAGGCAAGCAGGTAGGTGAATTCTGCAGCTTGCCTCTTATTTATTATGTTTAGAACTGAGTTGTTAGTAAACAAACCAGTGGTGGGTTCCTACTGGTTCAGCCCAGTTCGGCTTAACCGGTAGTAGCGTGGCGGACTGAGTCACTGAAACTGGCAGCGACCCAGGCCTGCCACGCCCCTGAACCGGTTCTCCCGTAGGAGAGATCTTGGGTTTTGACATCTTGGTTTTTGCTTCTGCTCATGTGCAGAGCAATTTTAGTTGTACTGCGCATGCACGCCTGTGTGAAGCACCCCTGAGCAAACCAGCAGTAGTCTCTGCCGGAACCCACCCCTGAAACAAACTGAAATTATACTTTTAAAAACTTGTCTGTCTGTCTGTCTGTGTATTTACCTACCTACCTATTTTCAATTTATGCTGTCTGACTTCAAATGACTTCAGGCAGTTTAAAGGTAAAGGTAAAGATTCCCCTCACAAATATGTGCTAGTCATTCCATCAAAGGGAGCTCATCTCCGTTTAAAAGCTGAAGATCCAGCACTGTCCAAAGATGCCTCCATGGCCATATGGCCACCATGACTAAATGCCAAATGTGCACGAAACACTGTTACCTTCCCACCAAATGTGGTCCTATTTTTCTACTTGCATGTTTACATGCTTTCGTGCTGATAGGTTGGCACAAGCTGGGACAAGTAACGAGAGCTCACTCCGTTACGCGACACTAGGGATTCAAACCGCCAAACTGCTGACCTTTCTGATCGACAAGCTTATCATCTTAGCCACTAAGCCACCTTTCTACAGTTTACAATGAATCAAACAATATAAAAACTATATAAATAAGACACCACAAAATAGAAAAGCAGGGACGAAAAAAGAACAAAATGGTGAACCCTGCAGAAACTCCAGAACATCCTACCATCATCCAACAGAGGGGCTGAAGGCACCCTAGTCCAGGGTCTGGGAAATCAACTTTATGGGTTTTGTTTATAGAGTATTTATGGCCCTCTGGAAGGCCAACAGTATGAAAGCCATCTTGATCTCACGGGATACCTCAGTCCATGCAACAAAGAAAGCTCATTTTAGGGGTATGAATTTTCTGAAAATGGAAAAGCCATTTTTGATTATTATTGCTACTGGTAGATCTATACTTTATGTATTGGGTTATCTTTTTCTCAATGGCATCTGCATTTTGGGAATTTCATTACCAGGATTTAAGTTCCTAGTTTCCTGCATGTCATTGGTCTTGAATTGTTATTCTTTTTACAAGATGGCCCGGACTCTTGTTTAAAGCTAGATTTATCAATAGCCCTTTTTATGCATGTCTCTCTCCCTCTCCTCCCCTCCCCTCCTTTACCTCATTCTTTAAATACAGCTGCTATTTACTTGAAAAACATGGTGACACAATATTGGCCAGACAGAGAGCCCCCGCCAGGGGAGGTGATATTTCCATTCAATATTCATGAAAATGATCGTCAGCAGATTCGGGATAATATTGTAGAAGGAATTATTCGTTCTCCAGACTTAGTGAGGTATGTCAAGGTTCACACTGGGACAGGCCCCAGAAAGGCCTCAATTTTACACTAAGGAAAACAGATGCTTCTTCTTAGAATAAAGTGAGCAGATTTAAATAACTTGAATAGATGTTTATTCAGCAGTGTTGTTTTGAAAAATAGTATTTTGAACGGGTATCAGGTTATAAAAGCATATAGTGAGCCAAATGATTCACTTCTGAAATCGTTCTCATGTGGAAGCGTATTCCAGAACTTTTTCTAAATGAGACGACAGTAACAATTTTTGTAGAAGTCTACGTAGAGAACTGCTGGGATAGAAAAAGGGAAGAATATAATTACAGTTCTTAAAATATGCCTCGTGCCTTTTAGGACATCAAGACAAAATCATTTTCCAGATAAAACTAGGAGAGCAGAAATTTAAAATACCTTGTTTTACAAAATACTGCAAATAATTCAGGAAATACCTTAAGACTTCAGAATTGTACATCCAACACATATTATAAAATGAGAGTTGGAAATAACGAAGAGGTCATCTATTCCAACCACATGCATTCTGCAGGATTCACTACACCATCCCCAATAGATAATTATCCAGCCTATATTTGAAACCTCCAGTTTCAAGCACAGAATATCCTGGGTTTGGGAAAGTTTATCTGTTTCGTATAAGTGAGAATGTTATCTGAAAGCTGGGAAATCTCACTGTTGTTATTTCCAAAGCCATTTATAGTTGTACATCTTGACTTTTGTGTCTGCTGAATATTAATTTGAATATATTATTTGTTATTCAATAAGTGTAGGAGCAGAAAGAAGAAAGGAGGGATCCTTTCTCTACAATTACATCTCGTGTTGAAATTTATTTTTTTGGCCTATCCTTTAAAATAGGCCCCCAACTACGGGGCCACAGCCCACTACCGGACTGTGGCCCCTTTGGAACTGAGCCACGGAAGCACAGGTGAGCGTGGGCACATGTGCAGCTCCACTTGTGCGAGCGTGCATGCGTGTGAAACTCCATTTGCGCAAGTGATGCAGGTGTGTGCCCGCCACTCTCGCAAGTGGAGTTGTGCCATGCTTGGCCCGCCATTCACAGGGAACCACCCTCTCTCTCCTCCCGCTCCCTTGCCCCCCGGTTGGTCCAAAAAGCTGGAACGGTTGGGGACTGCTGCTTTAAAAGCATTTTGATATTTATTTTTTCAGAAGAATTTGCTGTTAGCTCTTATTAGAGAAAAAGATACATGCATTGTTTCTGGTATAGTGTAATTCAGGAGTTGATGAAACAGGTCCTTTATCAGACCCCCTTTCTGTTTTTGCCTTCACTCCATCCTTTCTCAAGCTGTTTTTTCTCCACCCAGATCCCAGTTGACAATGTGCCTTCGTGCTATTATTAAGCATGACTTCCCAGGTCACTGGACAGCAGTGGTGGACAAGATTGGGTATTACCTGCAGTCGTCCAATAGCGGAAGCTGGCTTGGAAGCCTCCTGTGCCTGTACCAATTGGTAAAAACCTATGAGTAAGTGGATCTTCCTCAAGGAGAAGGTGCCTTTCCTAACCGCCTAGAAATAACCTCCTAGTTCCGTGATGGCGAACCTATGTGACACATGCACAGGTAGCACATGGAGCCATTTCTTAGGGCATGAGAGTGTTGCCCTGTCAGCTCCAGGGCGCATGCGCGTGCTGGCCAGCTGATTTTGGCCTTGATTTTTGGCCATTTTTCGTCCTCCGGAGCCTTCCTTTAAAGCTCCAGAGGGTGAAAAACTGCCCAATGTGCAAACCGGAAGTTCGGGAATGGACTTCCTGTTTGCATGTTGGGCTGTTTTCACCCTCTGGAGGCTTCAGGGAAGCCTCCTGAAGGTTGAGTGTTAAACTCAAGGCCTGGAACACGGATCTGACCCACGGGATGCTTAGATCTGGCCTGCGTGGGTGCCCTGGAAAAAACAAAGGACTGGCCTGCAGTGCCCCTGCCAGAGAAAATGGACTGACTGGCATCCGGCCCTCCCAAGCTCTGTTTTCGCTGGCAGTGGCTTGCAGGAGGCTATCTCAGCCAAAAATGGAGCTCGGGAGCCCATTTTCTCTGGCAGAGTGCTCGGGCCACCACAGGCACCCCCGATACGAGTGACATTGAGCTGGCCATGCCCACATCTAAGGTCAAATACAACCCTGATGCAGCCCTCAGTGAAATCGAGTTTGACACCCCTGATGTAAACATATACAGGTGGAGACTGGAAAGTGTTGTTCACACAGAGAAAAATATTTAAGTTGAGAAAGATTCCTCACACAAACTAAAATAAGTTTTGAATGAGAATCTAATTCCTGGAAACACAAACTTTCCCCTTTTTACCTACAATGGATTTTCTCCAGGTAAATTTGGGAAAGTTTGATCACCCAAATAATGAGAGATCAAGTGAAAGGGGTGACTCAGTTGTAAGTTTCTGTATCGGACCTGCAAACTCATATCTTTTTATTTACTCTGAGGCTGTGTTCCAAAACGCCACTGATCTGGGGTGCTAAGAAAAATGGTTAAAATGACCTCTAGTGTGCTGCACTAGGAAAATTAAAATAGCTTCTCCTTTCTGTTTTATTTGGATTTATTGTATTGTCCTGTGGAGATGAGAGAAGGATTACAACCTTCTCTCATCTCCACAGATTTTTTTTTAAAATCAAAACGAAGCAAAATGCAATAAGAGTAAATTTTACTCCTGAAATGTGTTCGGTCTGTTTCCTTCCATAGATATAAGAAAGCTGAGGAACGAGATCCTCTCATTGCCGCAATGCAAATATTCTTGCCTCGAATTCAGCAACAGATGATCCAGCTTCTTCCTGACAACTCCCATTATTCTGTGCTCCTTCAGAAACAGATCTTAAAAATTTTCTATGCACTTGTTCAGGTATGGCCCTGTATACTGAAAGCAGCAACAGTATGAAGAATTCCCAAAATGCAAGAACCCCTTTTTAGAATTGTGACCCACAAATGCATATTTTGAAGTATGCATTTATTGATTTCAGAGCAGCTACTTTCAAACCTGTGTCCTTAATTTTTAGACGTACAGTGTTTGATTTAAAAAAATGTAATAAGATTGTATCTTATTTATTTACTTTTTAGATTTTTATCTAATTTTTATCATGCCTTAAATAACTCAGAGCAGCGAACATACTTAGTATTCCTTCCTCCTCCTTTATTACCCTACAACAACAACCCTGTGAGGTGGGTTGGGCCGGGCCCATTTTTGGCGAAAACAGGCCGTGCGGAGCATTGCAGAGTGCTTCTGGGGGCCTGGGAGGACAAAAATGTGATGCTAGGAGGGCTTGGGAGCCCCAAAATGGGCCCATTTTGGTGAAAACGGGCTGTGCAGAGTACTGCAGAATGCTTCTGGGGGCCGGGGAGGGTGAAAATACAACACGCAGAGGGTTCGGGACAGTAGTGGGTTCTGGTCAGTACGGCTGTACTGGTGGTAGCTGGGAGCAGCGGCCACCATACCGGAACGGTGGTTTATTTGGCCCACCCGCCTGCCCATGTTGCTTACCGTTTTTTGATGCAAACGGGCCAATTGCGCATGCACGTACAGCATACAGCGCCTGCACGACCTCTGCCAAGCAGCTGAGTGTCGCTGGGCGGTGGCATGCGTACATGCATGCAGCATGCATGCCTGACAAGGATGCCTGGCCCCGTCACAGCGTACTGGTTGCGCCGGGATCCAGAACCCACTAGTTCGGGAAGCCAAAAAGCGCCATATTCGGTCTATAAGACACATCTCAATTTTCACCCACTTTTGGGGGCGGGGGGAAAGTGAGTTTTATACTCTGAAAAATATGTTATGTGTAACTATTAGCTCACTCTCATAACAAAAAGCAAATTCCAAGCCTTTTAGCACAGAAAAACATTGAGATGATAACTGGCTGCTTCCAATGGCTAACTAGCTGGCTGTCCTAGTACATAGGTTTCAAAGACAACAAAGAAATAATCTATGGTCATTGGAGGTTATAAAAAGGTATCACAGCTTCCAGTTAATACATTCTCTAAATATTGTCTGTATATATTTTGTAATATACAGTCAGGGACTGTATATTTTACGTATTCAATAATATTGATATTTTCTTTTTCCTCTTAACTTCAGTACGCTTTGCCACTTCAGCTGGTGAATAACCAAACGATGACTCAGTGGATGGAGATTTTCCGGACTGTCATTGACAGAAGTGTGCCTCCTGTAAGGTTTACATTACTGGACAGCTTTAATATTCTTTGAGTGCATTGGCAAAAAGGGAAGTGTAGGTTGGGGAACATTTTTATCCAACTATACGGAGGGCGTGTTCGGCTTCTGCCGTGTTCTTGTACTTTAAAAGAAGGTGTAAGGAGGAAGTGGAGCCATTGCTCACACTCCCTTGCTTTTCACTCAGCAAGAATATCATGTACTAAAAGCAAAGCAGTTCGAAATCTAGGTATGTTAAATTGTGGGTCTGACTAAGGCAGTGGTGGAATTCAGCCGGTTTGGACCGGCTTGTGCGAACTGGTTCTTATGATTTTGCATAGTTTGGAGAACCGGTAAAAATCGACCACCAGCTAGCCCCACCCTCCTCGCCCTGCCCCACCTCGCCCTGTCCTATATATTATCTTCCCTTCATTGTGGGATGGCGTCTGGGCAACTGAATGGAGCTGAGTGTTTACTGGCCAGATGCCCCTACCTGTTACCAATGCGGAATTTTATTCAGCAGATATATTCTCATTGTACCCAGAGAGAAATATCTGCCTCTACCTAGGATTGAGCCCACAGCCTCCTGATTGTGAGGCGAGAGCTCCACCTCTAGACCACCGTGCCACTCAGGTATCTAAATGCTGTTGTTAAATTGTGTCTAGAGACTACGAAGGCTGTAGATTCTTCTTATCATGCTCCATTGATGTTAACTGCATTGATGGCTGATAGTTCTTTCCTTTGGTTAGGAAACTCTTCAGGTTGATGAAGATGACCGGCCAGAATTGGTGTGGTGGAAATGTAAGAAGTGGGCTTTTCGGATTGTTGCTCGTCTTTTTGAAAGGTTATTATGCTAATAACAAAGAATGACATTACTAAATCTTGTTTTGGCATGTTTATAATGTTTCCAAATTGTAAATGTTTTTTTAAAAAATTGCCCCAAGTTCAAGTATCAGCAAATCTAAAAAAAAAGAAGAAAAAATTACTCTATCGGCTATAAAAATGTGGCGATTTTAATGGAATTTGTGCGTTCCTTTTGCCATAAAGATGGCCTTTAATTGCATGAGTGAAAATTAATAGGAAGTTTAATGATAGTGAGGTATACTTTAGTATGTTTTCATAAAGTAATATATTGATGTTCTTTTGCTTTGACACTTTTAAAGGTATGGTAGTCCTGGAAACGTAACAAAAGAATATTTTGAATTTTCTGAATTCTTCTTGAAAACCTATGCTGCGGGAATCCAGCAGGTAAAGGCTTGTCTTATTTCGTGAAATAACATGACAATACTTTAACTTGCTCTTTTGTAGCATACACTGAAGACATTGCTAGGTAAAAGAGTAAATGAATACAGCACTTGGATAAGCCTAGGATAAGAAGGTGTGGAAGAAAACTGATCATATCCTGTAAAACTGTTGTTACGGATAATGAGGTTGCTTGTGTTTTCTTAGTCAAAACAACCTACATTTTAGTATTTAGAACCCATTAAAAGCCCCTAATTTTACTGAAACCTCATTTAATCAAAAAGTTTTATTCTGGGAAGCAGTGTTTGTAGCTCTCATCTCTGAGATATCAGTTAGTTGACTGTTTGGAGGTCAACTGATTTGGCCCGTAGTTTCCAGCTGATGAAACAGGAGCACGCATGGGGGGAGCAGCAAAAACTGGAAGAGCAGCTCCTCAGGGCACATACATGGGAGCGCCAGAAAAGCAGTTCCCCAGTGTGCATGCGCATGCTGGGAAGCTTTGAGCTTCCAGTTTCCGGCATGCTGGTCACCTGGTCTTCCAGTTTCTGACATGCATGCACACGCAAAGACCAGCTGGCTGGCGCACATGTGTGCTCCGGAAACTGGAAGCTCAACTTCCTGGGTGTGCGCATGTGCACCAGGGAGCTGCTCTTCCAGTTTCCAGCACTCCTGCACATACGAAGACCAGCTGCGCGTGCGAATCTGGAAGAGCAAGAGATGACGGCTAGCATGCCCGGAGAGAATGGCTCTGTATACCACTTCCGACACACATGCCATTGGTTCCCCATCACGGGAATAGGCTGTATATTATTACAGAAATCGTCTTTAAAGGATTTCATGTTCATTCAGGAAATTGTTAATGGATCAATACCCTCCTTAGGAGTCTAGGAAAATCCAGAGTACATTTTCTATGGAAATGTGATTGCCAGCTTTACTTTTTTAAGTCATATCTTTCTCCATCATATCAATCTGTTAGCTAAAATTAAAACATCATCTAGGGTGTGAGAAACATATTAGCTTTTATCCTTTGCTTAAAATGATTGTGCAGATTTTATTTTCAGTACTTCAAACATGATGGGTCAATGTTGAGTTCTGATTATGTCACAATGCCTTCAACTTTCCTTTAGGTACTCCTAAAAATCTTGGATCAATACAGGCAGAAAGACTACGTAGCTCCACGTGTCCTTCAACAAACATTAAACTATCTGAACCAGGGAGTCCATCACTGTATAACCTGGAAGCAGATGAAACCCCATATGCAGGTCAGTATAAGAGTAGCAATTTGAGCTTGTGGGTAAACTCTGAAAACATGAGTTAGAACGTTTATGATAATTTTGAAATTGAGGTAACAATTGAGAAAGTGATAACTGTAATGGCAACACGGTCGCGGGAACAAAGATAGCATATTTTCCCCAACAATCTGGGACTTCTTTTACCGACCTCAAAAGGATGGAAGGCTGAGTCAACCTTGAGCCGGTCAGGATTGAACTCTTAGAAATAGGCGGAGTTAGACTGCAATACTGCATTCTAACCACTGCATCATCGCGGCTCAGATAATCAATTAATTACACAGTTGTTTCATTTGCCTGTATTTCTTTCTTACACAGTGCCTGTAAGGTCAATTTCCAGAAATAGTCATGTTTAATCTACAAGTTATTGCATCAAGTGTAAGGCTGTTACCTAGTGAATCTTTTCTTTTGCCATTTATCCCCCCACGTCGTTATGTAAAAGGTGTGATATGATTCACTGCGGTGCTAATTCCCACAAATTGTACAAATTGTGCTAGAACTATTATTGCCGTTTTAGTCACAATGTGCCAAGGTGGGTAGTCAACTTAGCTTTAGCATTCTAAGCCCGTTTCTAAATGGGTAGAAAATAGCACATCCTTGTATAAAGGAACTGGAGTGGGATGTAGCAATCACCATCCTCTCCCCAGCATTAAAACTCCTCCATCCAATGTAAAGATTCATCTGAAGTCCTAAAGTGCTGCCGTATTTTTCGGAGTATAAGATGCACCGGACTTTAAGACGAACCAAGGTTTTGAAGAGGCAATTTTTTTAAAAATAGGTAGGTAGGTAGGTAGGTAGGTAGGTAGGTAGGTAGGTAGGTAGGTAGGTAGGTAGGTAGGTAGAGGGATAGAGAGGGAGAGAAAGAGAAATACAGTAGGTAGATAAGTAGGTAGGTAGGTAGGTAGGTAGGTAGATAAAGGGATAGAGAGAGAAATGGAGAGAGAGAGAAATACAGTAGATATGTAGGGAGAGAGAGATAGTGTGTGTAGGTAGGTAGAGGGATAGAGAGAGAGAAATAGAAAGAGAGAGAGAGAGAAATAGATAGATAGGGAAAGAGTAGGTAGGTAGATAGAGGGAGAAAGAGAGAGAAATACAGTAGATAGGGAGATAGAGTGTGTGTAGGTAGATAGATAGAGGGATAGAGAGAGAGAGAGAAATACAGGAGGGAGGGAGGGAGAGAGAGAGTAGGTAGGCAGGTAGGTAGATAAAGGGACGGAGGGAGAGAGAGAGAGAGAGTAGGTAGGCAGGTAGGTAGATAAAGGGACGGAGGGAGAGAGAGAGAGAGAGAATAGGTAGGTAGGTAGAGGACT